CCACATCTGGACCTGCATCTGGATCTCAGTATCTATAAGTTACAAGCAGTTGGCAACTGCAATTCTGATAGTGCAGCTGTGGGGTTACGAGAAGAGCCTTGCAAAAACATTTATAATGGGGACAGCTGGAAGCAGCTCTCAGGAGCTGCATCTGAACAGCAGCAGAGGGGAGCAGGTGGGGCAGGACAGAGATGCTCTGTCATAGACATCTTTTTGTGAAAATCCTTTCTTAAGATTTTTTTACCTTCTGAGAAGCTGAGAGGCCTCAGAAACAAAATGTAAACAATGGTTATCTGCTGCTGTGAAATGCAACAGGTGGATCTGTGATTGGCCCATCTTAGATGTTTATAATTAATGACCAATCAAGACCAAGCTATCTCAGAGTCTGAGACAGCTGCCTTTTGTTATCATTCTTTTCCATTCTATTCTTAGCTAGCTAGCTTCTGAGATGAACCTTTTATTTCTTTTTAGTATAATGTAATATATATATCATAAAATAATAAATCAAGCCTTCTGAACATGGAGTTAACATTTTCGTCTCTTCCCTCATCCAAGACCCCCTGTGACCACTGTCACAATGCTCATCCCAGGAACACAGGGATGGTTCCACTAGGTGGCACCCGGAGCCAGCAGCGCGATTTTGGGACAGCAGCAGGAGCAGAGCCAGGGACAAGAGGAATGAGGAATTGAACACAAACCCTGCTCATATCACCCAGAAACATGTGGACTGCGGGTCTCAGCCCCCAAGCAAACCACAAGCCACTGAAAGCAGAAGGCAAATGAGCTAAAGAGTAAAAATTTTTTTTTGTGATTCGTGTCAATTTTGGCAATGGAATCAGCAAATGCTTATATCTGCTGTCTCGAAAATAGATACAATGGAAGGTTTTGAAACTTTCTGACCAAATAGCCAAATTGTCACAGACTTATTTTATGGAAAATCCTTTTGGCAGGATCTTTTCTCCTGAGAAGCTTCAGCTTCCCCATGTTTTGCTGCTTTGGAATGTGATTTGGAGAATTGTTTACCCAGCATGTGAAATTGTTTTTACTTGATGACCAATGACAGACACCTGTGTCGAGACTGTGAACAGTCACCAGATTTTATTATCTTTCCTTTCTTCCTTTCCTTTCCTTTCCTTTCCTTTCCTTTCCTTTCCTTTCCTTTCCTTTCCTTTCCTTTCCTTTCCTTTCCTTTCCTTTCCTTTCCTTTCCT